ATATAGCCTTAATATATATTTACCTAAACATGCATATACATTTTATTAAAATGTATTCCTGACAAAATAATAAATTCGTGATAAAAGTAACAATACGTGACAACCGTGATTCATATGTACAATAAAAACTATGAAATCTTAATATAGTATCGTGAAATAATTTAAATCTTTGTAACGAAAACATTATATCTTTTTTAATAAACATGAGATATACGTATTTTTATTCTCTATTTCCGGGATAATTGATAAATATTTTTTTTTATTCATGTTTATTATGTTGTAATTCTGAAGATAAAAACACATAGATATATTAAATCAAAGAATTATTTTTTTATATTTAATTTGATAAAGTTATAAGTTCTAGAAATCAAAATTTAAAAATTATGTATTTAAAGTAAATTATTTCTACAAAAACTGTTCATTTATAATATTTATTTGTATTTATTATTTTTTATATATAAATCGCATTTTACTGTCCGATCCTTTGTGAGCTACAAAATTTAGTATTAACATAATTGATAATAACTATCATGTTATATAAAAATTTCTACTTTCTAGTATAATTTTATGATTAATCTGCCACAGAAATCACAGTATTAAAATTTTTGCCATAAAAAAATCTTGCATATATTTATTTCATCAACAAATATGTTACCATTGATATGTATTATCTGACTTGTTGATGTTTCCACTCCAAAAATTTCGTACTCGATTGAAGCTATCTGATAAAGTAAGTTCTTTTAAAGCTTCACACACGCTAAATGTCATGCTATTAATGTTAAATTATTATTAATTTGTCTAGCAACTATTAATATGTCAAATAAATTTTCTTCCAAAATAACGTTTAATTGGTTACAGCTTTGCAACATTAATCAGAAATTCATGTAAAGATCAGTGATTAACACTCAATAATCAAATAGCTTCAGAGAAAAGTTAAAATTGAAAATTAAAAATCAAAATATTCAATTTTTTGAAAAAGTTGACTGTTTCCTACACATTTTAAGAAACATAAAATAAATG